CCACGTTAGTATATTTGTCCAGAGTTTGTTAAGGTCAACGTAGTGTACTTGACATGACGCACAAACATATAACATACACAAACATATAACACACACAAACATATAACACACACAAACATATAAACAACACAGAAGGCCTGTAATTTTAACTTTGTTATATTTTTCCATGTCCAATTACAATTGTCTCATGAGCTATTTCTATTGTTGCAACTTTCAGAGCCTGCAGAACATGCAGAGCTTTAAGAGATTTTTCCTTAAAAGGATCCATTTCCAACTTTAGTGTTTACCACGTGGTCTGTACTCGGGCTTATCACAGATGGTGTCCCCTATATTTCTAATGAGCTCTTGTTACTTTAAAATGTTTTTTTTTTTTTTTTTTTTTTTTTTTTTTCAATAAAGCCAGGTCGGATTCATTAAAAAATGTAAATTAGTCTCAAACTTTAATACTTCACCTTTGTTTCACGATAAAATGTTTTTGTTGCTCATTAAGTAACACAGATACCATAGAGTGGTGCCTATCCCAATAAACGTACTCTGTTAGCCTATCTTCACTACACTGAAGCCATGAATTTTGTGAAGCGACCACTCATTTGAGAACGGACCAAAATCTGTCACCTTATGTTTTGTTTTAAACACAGGATTTGTTGTCCCTGAATCATCCAGAATTTTAGCTTTTACACCACAGATTGTTAGCGTATATTACGGGAATTCAGCATGAATTATCTCTAAAAAGTGCCAATTGCAATTTGTTGTTGTTCAAACTTACATGAGCGGTCGCTTTGGTGACGAATGTGAACCCGGGTTTGGTCAGTCGCTCGTGTTTCCTCCACGCCCGCCTCTGCCGTCCTCTGGCCCCGTGTGAGCTTGAGCGGTCCTCTGCCTTTAACGCCTCCTCCGGTAACAGTCCTTCGACACATGTCGAGCACACAGTCTTTCCGCCGGGCTGTGGACATTTCTCAAAGTCCGCAGGAGGCCCAGGTAGCCCAAAGCGTTCAAATAATGTTAGCCTGTGGTCCATGAGGGTTGGTTAATACCCAAACGTGCCGGTCCCAATGGCTTCTTCTGTTTGCGGTGCGGGGGCAACTTTCAACGGGGTTTCAGCGGGTGCGTTTGGTGTTTCACGCTGCCGCCTCCGTGGGGAACAGTCACGGGATTTGGAGCAGTTTGTCTCTGGCCTCCAAAGCAGTTGTCGGTGTCTCACATAATGTGTCCACGGAGTGAGTCGTGAGCTTCGGTTTCCTGCTTCCGCCGCTTCTTCTTCTGCGGTTTCCTGAGCGTGTATCTGCTTCCGCCGCTTCTTCTTCTGCGGTTTCCTGAGCGTGTATCTGCTTCCGCCGCTTCTTCTTCTGCTCCCGGGTTTGGGTCCACTTCTCGCGGGGTCTCAGCTGGTGCGAGCGCCGCCGTGGTTGGGGCGTGGGGCTGGTGCTGGGGCTTTGAGGCAGAAGACAGAGCGCGGAGGAAAGCGCCGACAGACCTGGACAGGGAGAGGAAAAGGGGACAACAGTAGTCTGCTCATTTTTTAAAAACCCAACGCCTTGTTTGGGCGCGTACTTAGCATGGAGTTCTGCTCCTTCTGTGAAAGGGTTAGTAGGTGAGAGAGGGCGGTAGGGTGTGTGTGTGTGTCCGCCTGTGTGTCCGCCTGTGCGTTCTCCGCTTCGGTGAAAAGCGGAGGAGCTATTGTTTTTACATATTTCTTTCTCTAACGTCTTTTGCCGTGATATTCTTAAAACCAAGTATATATATATATTTTTTTCTTCTTCTAAATTATCACGCAAGATGCGTAATTGATTCAGAGACATAGAGCCTCTATCGGAAAAGCCAAATGAACTGCACCATGTAGGCAAGCACTCCATAGCTTTAGATCCGAACTGTTTTTCCATTGCCATTGTAACGGGGGACGTTAACATTCCCCTCGGTGTGGCATCTCTAGATTGATTTTTTCCCCATTTTCTCGTACAGAACAATGGACCTAACCCGTTTAGTCTCTCCCTGCTCTTACTCACTTTGGAGCGCTCCGTTCCCCCCCGTGGGTTCTATATACCCAACGAGCGCGCGTTCTTGAAACGGAGCGGGTCTGGCTGAAGGCACTAGAGATATCTCCAGGGTCGCTTACTGAGCGATACTAACACGCAGCCGCTAGCTTCAATCTAGAACAAAATACCCCAAAAAATCCCGCACACAGTCTATGCTGTGGCAATGAATGAAATACCCCAAAAATACGTAAATAAATGAAATCCCCGTGTACACTTAAGTGCTGCCCTGGGCTTGTTACGCAAATGAAAAGACAAAACTCACCAAATCAGGTTCTTTTTGGTCTTGTGTGGCCAAAGATTCCTTTCACGCGCAGGACGAGCGCGCCCTCCCTTTGTCTCCAAATAGAGCAGAGGCTGGTGTTGTTCCAGGTCGGCCAAACGCAGCCGCTCGTCCCCGCCGAAAAGATCCAGGCCAAGACATGCCAGCAACGCCAAATTGTTGTAGAATTACATACCCCAATGAAGGAGAAAGCTCAAAGGTATTTGTCTTAATCAGGAGCGTAAGTATATTGTAACACACGTGCGGAGAGCTCACATACACAAAAGGCAGCGTACATCAGCTCTAACGCGGCCAGACCAGGTTCCTGTTTACATAGACAACACATGAAAGACAGTCACGCCCACAAAAGATGGGAGGGGGTCACCAGTACAGGAGGCGCATCCAGAGGCGAGGCGCCATGCCCGTGGGGAGGCAATCAGACCGTGCCATAGAGATGCAAACAGAGAGACAATGGACATGCAGGATGTAGAGATGCAGACATACAGATGCAAGATGCAAAAGGGACAAGGGTGAGACAGTCATTGTCTGTAGGTGCGGGGGGAAGCCCGGCTCCTTCCTGCAGGTTAATTGAATAGAACCAGCGGGGGGGGGGGTGAGTTGGCGTCCCCGAGTCTAGGCAGCTTGCCATCACACCACCCACCCGAAGTGGGCAAGGCACCTTTTTCCGGTCGAGCACCATGGCCTCATATTTGGAGGTGCTGATTTTCATCCCAGCCGCTTCACACTCTGCTGCAAACCGTCCCAGTGCATGTTGCAAGTCCTGTTGCGTTGGAGCCAACAGGACAACATTGTCTGCAAACAGCAGAGATGAAATCCTGTGGTCCCCGAACCGGACCCAAAAAACCTAATAATTGAAATGCACAAAAGTCCATGTACCAAGTACCACACTGGTATAAAGCATATTAATTTAATGCCATCACAATTATAATTGTTATTTTGATGCTACGCCAATTTCTTAATTTAAGTTGTAATATTCGGTCTTTGTTCTTTCACTGAAATGGATAAAGACCATTGCACAACTCTTGCAGAGAAAAGTCCTTTTCAAGCATGTATAGAGAGGGAAAACAATTTAATATTGCGGCTCTTTGTTATGTCTTTGGCTCGTGATTTGTTTGGCAGCCCCAGTTCACACATGGTCTCTCTTAAATTAGATTTTGGTTGATCTATTTGGACAGGTGCAGCACATGGTAAACATTAACTTTAACAGGACAGATGCATTTTACAAGGTTGTAGCAACCTTGTAGCACAAGTGTAGTGATAACTTTCACCTGTAGTTCCATGTAGAAACACAATTCACCTTGTGAAAAACAATGTTCATTTGACTTTATTTAGGCTGAAAAAATGGTCTTTCCACATTGCATATTATTTTCCTTATTCTTCTTTGTCACATTCAAATAAATTGATCCATAAATTAATCTGTGTGTCTGCAATGTTGCTTCTGTACAAGTGCTCCAGTGTGAGTGCAAGGTGTCTCCATCTTCTACAGAGGACCATCACCTTTGCCCTCTGCCCCCCATATGCCTCTCGTCTGCCTCCCCTCTGATTCTTCTCTGCTTCCTCTGTGATACGGAAGTAAATAACTTGCAGTCCTCAGTAGGCCTGTAACATGGTAATCGATTAGTTAAATATGTTGTTTAATTTAGTAATCCATGGATCATTTTTTGAACCTTCCATAGACATAAAGACGCTCATTGTGTGTCTCCAGGGGCATCACCAAAGCTTCCTCTTTCAGTTCATCCTAAGCACATGTGTGGGTCATACACCATACAAAGCTCAAAGATTTTGAAATTGTAGCCATTTCTTGCATAGAGGTGATCTCAGCTCAATTGAAACAGCTGGTTTAGTCAGCCTCACGCTGACTAGGAAGCAAACAAATAAGTGTGAAAGCTAACTGTTGAACATATAGTCATTTCAGACCTGTGAATAAACTTTTTTCCAAAATGGTGTTTGATGAATTGTCACTTGCAGATGAGCCAGACCCCTGTGAATATAGAGTGCAGCTACACTTCGTCTTTAGGCCCAACGGTGTCGTCGCATGTTTACACCCCAAAACACATTTTCTCCAAATTGACATGCAAACACTTTTTGTTGCTGACAATAGCAGAAAAAACAGTATACAAACTGTGGTGGGAGAAGCTGTGCGCATGATTTGCCGTTTTAATTTTTTTTACCGCTGTCAATCACCTGGAGGAAGGCTTTTGGAGTTTGTGACGTTTTGTCACGTCAAAAATGAATCGTGGCGTTTTGCTGCCTGTATCACACTCTAACTAAAGCTTGAGAGAATCAATAAAAAAATGTCTTTGGGCATGAGAATGAAGGCCAAACAGCACTGTAATGTTTAAATGTTTATTATTTATGGTTTTGATGCCTCCTTCTATCTTGTTTTGTTCAGTATGTTTACGTTGCCGTGTGTATGAATTGTGCTATATAAATAAACTCGCCTAGCCTTGCCTCGCCTAAAGCAGAGACAAGTCAAAAAACCCAATATGGGACTTTTAAGCCTCCATGAATGTCTCTGGAGATGTGACATTCTGATTATGGTTAATGCAGTGAACACAGTCATTAATTTTAAGATCAAAATTTCAAGTAATTATTTAGGGTCTGTCTTTAAAATATGATTCATTGAAAAATAAATGTTTTCCAATGTTGATTAAAAGTAATCCCTGTGCTCCCACTTCTCTGTGCAGATGCCGTGTTTGCGTTCCAGCTGCGTAACCCAGTCCACAACGGCCATGCGCTGCTGATGCAGGACACCCACAAGCGGCTGGTGGAGCGCGGCTACCGGCGGCCTGTGCTGCTGCTGCACCCTCTGGGAGGCTGGACCAAAGACGACGACGTGCCTCTGCCCTGGCGCATGAAGCAGCACGCTGCCGTGCTGGAGGAGGGCATCCTGAACCCAGACACCACCATCGTGGCCATCTTCCCCTCGCCCATGATGTACGCCGGCCCCACAGAGGTGAGTCCCACTGTAACAGACAGTAACTATCAACTTTCACAAAGCATTATGTTGGAATGTGAAATAATGCATATATTTTATACATACCAAATTAAGAAGTATAAAGGATATAACCTGATTTCAGTGTATGCTTGGTCTACCACTTTTTTCTTTCTTCAAAATTAAATAATTGTACAGACTGCACTTACTATAACATTTGACCTGAGAAATGAATTTGGCTGGCCCAATCCCCAGTTCCAATGGAAAACCTCTGGTGACATCAACTTTACCATCTCTGAGACAAAATCATGGAATTATTATAAATGTACAGCAGTTCTCAGAAACTAAATAAGAGGTTAGACTCTCAGGAATGCATAATCATACATGTCAAGTTTTAAATATTCTTTTCAAGATGATAGATTCTTGTTTTTTTGTCTCTATGATGTCAAGTATAGACAATGTGTGAATAATATAGAATTATAATGAATTTTAAGCTTTGTTCATCACCCCATGTGCTATCCTTGGGTCAAATGGAAGCGCCACAGTGATTAGAGAATAACCTAAACACGTTTTTATGGTCTAAAAGGGTCTACCTTTAATTCCCATGGGCTTTGGTCATTTTGACCCAAGGGTAGCACAAGATTAAGGGATCCTTTATTCGTCCCACAGTGGGGAAATGTCAGTGTTGCATCACAAGTTATAGAACGGTAGGAATGAGGAGCACACAGCACAAGACAAGTGAACAATAGAGAAACTGAGTTTATTCATGTTTGTTTAAAATGAAATATACGTTATATTATGTCAAAGAGTTGACATATATAGTAGAAAAATAGTTAGAATTTCTTAATTTATGCCTACTCCAAAAAAGGCGTGCTCAGCAGACCAGGGGAGGACCGCCAGACCAAAGCATCCAAAATAAAATATTAAGAAATAAATGTATCTTCAAATTATTTATGTGATTATTATTTTAAAATGGATTAGAGCCTGTCTGAGCTGTACAGACCTAAGGCGGGGCTTGGTCTCTCATCCATGGGCTGCTCCATTAGTGCATTAGCACTAATGCACTAATGGCCTGTGCCTGTTGTGGAGGACCGAGCCAGGATCATGTGTCAATTTTTTCCGAACGCCTCATTTACACCCTGATTTGGTCATACGAAAGTTTCATAAATGAGGGCCAATCACTCTACATACTTAAAATACAATGTCTGCCATGTGATCACCATGCTGTTCACCACATATGATTAGCCCAGGGCAAGCTTTCAAAATAGTATTTTAGTGGTTTGATATCCCTAAACAAATATGACTCATTGGGAGGTGGGCGGGCACCCTGTAATTATTTTCTTTTCTTTTCAATATATCAAAACTTTTTTATCTGATGTTTTATGTTGTTCATATTCTGCATCATTTTGCCTCTAGATGTTTTACAAGATGTTTCTGCTTGTTGTCTTCAAAGTTGGAAAGCTTTCTGCTGCCGAGCTTGACAACTGGGTGGCTGTTCACATTTAATTTCCACATCTGATATATTTTGCGTTTATTCCAGGTTCAGTGGCACTGCAGGTCACGAATGGTCGCTGGGGCCAACTTCTACATCGTGGGCCGTGACCCCGCTGGTATGCCTCACCCAGAGACCGGGAAGGACCTGTACGAGCCCACTCACGGGGCCAAAGTGCTGACCATGGCCCCGGGCCTCATCACCCTGGAGATTGTCCCCTTCAAGGTTGCAGCGTACAACAAGGTCAAGAGAGCCATGGACTTCTATGATGCCAAGAAGTATGTGTTCTCACTCTGACAAATGTTCTCTTGTTAGTGCTTATGTTCTTAAAGTGATACAAATGTTAAGAATTGTATTAAATTGACAACCTGGCCTTAAATGTTGATAAAAATTAAATCATTTTATGAATTAAAATGAAATAAATACATATAAATATATTCAAACTAATATTAGACAGCCCTTGCTACTAAAAGCTGTAATGGGCATTATCTTTTCTAAGTGATATTTATAAAATAGTTAGTTCCCAAAGGGTTCGCCCTGACGTGGCCAGACGGGTAAGGCTAGCTATCTAACTAGAACTCTCTGGAATTACAAGAAAACTGAACAAAGAATTCTGAACATCAGTGGTGAGTTACCCAAATATAAACCTAACCTAAATATATAATCAGATCCTCTTCAAATGTTATACTAATGTTAATGGTTACTCCACTACGATCGCATTTTTTCACATTACAACAGTATTTTTGTCATGAGAACGTTAAAAAATAATTCTGAAAACCTCCGTGCACGTGTGTTAAGAATGTATATGTATAATGTATTCTCCGATTAACATTTAAATGTGTTCATTGATTGATATTTGTTTATTGAGCGTGGCTAGCTTTGACAGTGTGCAAACTACTGTCCGGAGTAATCTTAGTATTTTACACACCTGAATTACAAGCAGAGGGTGTGTTGCCAAAGGGCAGCGGTCATTATTGGTTATCAAGACATAATGATCGGTAGAACGTTTTGAAATTACTTTAAAGTCAATGGAGCGTTCTACTGCTGCTGTGAGGAACTGTATAACAAACAAGGATTAGATATTCAAATTAGGGCTGGGATAAATGATTATTTTTAAAATCTGACTAATATCAATTTATACATGTTGATTTACATATCTGAATGAAAACACATGGATTCTTTAACAAAATATATTTATTGCTCTTAAAATTCAAAAATAAGACATTCTTAGTCAGAGGTAGCATAAAACCTTGAAGCCTTAAACACATCTAGCTTACTGAAAAAAGTGCATCTTATAATTCTTCTTTCAGATGAAAATAACACTTGATGTTTAGCATTCAATAAATAGATATATAAAGTTCACCCAAAACAGTACTTAACTTGGGGGCTTAAGCTAATACAGGGGTTGTTTTTTTCAAAATCCAGACTATCACTTTAATTCAACAGGATTGAGAGAATGATTGGCAGCCATTACGATTAAACCATTACATGGCCAAGCCTTGGATCTTTGAAGGCAATGATGTCAGGAGCAGATACCCAATCCAAAACAATTGTTCCTGGATTAACACCAACACTTCAATAAAAATAAACCATGACCATTTCTGAGCTTCAATTATTTGGTAACATAATTAAAAGTTAATGATGAGATGAAAATATTTATATCCTATTCATGTAAGGTAATTATCCATAGAGCCCTGTATTACTGAAATGATTAAGAGCTGCAGATAGTTCCCCGTAGTGCTCATGTATTTATCATTATCTGAGCAGAATGGTTTATAATGAACTATTTTATTTGAACATTGTCAAATGCAAGCGCAGGTTAGGCCATGTGCATCCTCACAGGTTCCGGATTGGACAAAATTTAATCATCAGGGGTCCTCAACCTGGAGCTCAGTCTTGTGGCTGCAGGTTTTTCATCCCGACCAAGCAGGAGTACAGTAGGCTCCATCCATTTTCTCAAGTGAGTCTGTTACCTACTTAACATGATGGTGGATGGTCACATGGTAAACAAAAATAAGCATTCTTTTAAACAATGAAATATAATAGAAGTTGCAGGCCTCACTTACCCAAAAAGACTCAAAATAACATTCTTCTATCCAGATGAACACGATTATGGTGAGGGAGAGGGCAACACAATCTGCAGGCCCTAATCCCACAAACGTCTTGGATCACATCAAAAATGCCCTTTCTGAAATAAACCAATACATGCCGAGGGTTTCAGGCATTAATGATATCAGACTCTAGAGGACTCCAGGCACCACAGATGTGAAGCCTGTCTCACCTTTACCACCTTTTTAAAAAGTCAGAAGAAGAAAGATAAAAATATTCTTGTAGTGACTTTCAGTTTTAGCGTACTCCTGACTAAGCAGTGTTTGACTAAAATACACAATTTACTTTTACAATTCCTGTTGAAACACATCGACTGACTGTTTGCAATGTTGGAGTGAGGAGGCATTTTCCAAGTCTCTTCAAAGTGAGGTCAATTTGTCCCAGACGCCAGGACAAAAGTTCCACTCCAAAGTCTCATTAAGCTCATCCTGCGTGCGCTTTCATCCTCATGCAGTGCTCCTCTCTGTCTGCAGAAGCAGCCAGGCCAAAGATAACAGCGGCCGTTGCTTAATCCTCAACAGTTAAAAGCTCCCAGGGCTTTGAAGTCAGTCAGAAATGAGAACGAGCTGCCATTAATTACATGTGTGTACATGAGACAGCACATGATGACGACTAACTGAAATCAGACGAAAGCCCCTCATTGTAACACAACTACGGCTTTGTTTAGGTCTGATCTTTGCCCTCACAATATCCATCAGTTTGTTTTCCTTCACGTTCATGAGATAAATGCAGATGCCGCATTTGAAAACATGACTACAAACGGATTGGCATGATGTATGACAAACTTGATTCTGAAATGGCACTGTGTTTAGAAGATAAATGATGCACTGATTGGTCATATACCATATGGTTATACCATGGTTACAGTAGGGCAAAAAAGTATTTAGTCAGCCACCGATTGTGCACGTTCTCCCACTTAAAATAATGACAGAGGTCTGTAATTTTCATCATAGGTACACTTCAACTGTGAGAGACAGAATGTGAAAACAATTCAGGAATTCACATTGTAGGATTTTTAAAGAATTTATTTGTAAATTATGGTGGAAAGTAAGTATTTGGTCAATAACAAAAATTCAACTCAATACTTTGTAATATAACCTTTGTTGGCAATAGATCTTCTCGAGAGCAGTGATGTTTTGGGGCTGTCGCCGAGCAACACAGACTTTCAACTCCCTCAACAGATTTTCAATGGGGTTGAGGTCTGGAGACTGGCTAGGCCACTCCAGGACTTTCAAATGCTTCTTACGGAGCCACTTCTTCGTTGCCCGGGCGGTGTGTTTGGGATCATTGTCATGCTGGAAGACCCACCTCGATACATGGCCCCATTCATTCTTTCCTTAACACGGATCAGTCGTCCTGTCCCCTTAGCAGAAAAACAGCCCCAAAGCATGAAGTTTCCACCCCCATGCTTCACAGTAGGTATCGTGTTCTTGGAATGCAACTCAGTATTCTTCCTCCAAACACGACAAGTCGAGTTTATACCAAACAGTTCTACTTTGGTTTCATCTGACCACATGACATTCTCCCAATCCTCTGCTGTATCATCCATGTGCTCTCTGGCAAACTTCAGACGGGCCTGGACATGCTCTGGCTTCAGCAGGGGGACACGTCTGGCACTGCAGGATTTGATTCCCTGTCGTCGTAGTGTGTTACTGATGGTAACCTTTGTTACTTTGGTCCCAGCTCTCTGCAGGTCATTCACCAGGTCCCCCCGTGTGGTTCTGGGATTTTTGATCACCGTTCTCATGATCATTTTGACCCCACGGGATGAGATCTTGCGTGGAGCCCCAGATCAAGTGAGATTATCAGTGGTCTTGTATGTCTTCCATTTTCCGATAATTGCTCCCACAGTTGATTTGTTCACACCAAGCTGCTTGCCCATTGTAGATTCACTCTTTCCAGTCTGGTGCAGGTCTACAATTCTTTTCCTGGTGTCCTTTGACAGCTCTTTAGTCTTGGCCATAGTGGAGTTTGGAGTCTGACTGTTTGAGGCTGTGGACAGGTGTCTTTTATACAGATAAGGAGTTCAAACAGGTGCCATTAATACAGGTAACGAGTGAAGAGCTTCTTAAAGAAGAAGTTACAGGTCTGTGAGAGCTTCCTTGTTTGAAGTGACCAAATACTCATTTCCAACAATAAATTAAAAATAAATGTGAATTCCTGGATTTTTTTTTCACATTCTGTCTCTCACAGTTGAAGTGTACCTATGATGAAAATTACAGACCTCTGTCATTATTTTAAGTGGGAGAACTAGCACAATCGGTGGCTGACTAAATACTTTTTTGCCCCACTGTATATACCGTATGGTGGTTACTGTGGAGACGACAGGTCAATTTTACAGATCAGGTTTGTGGAACGGAAACACCACTCAAGGACTTTTTCCTTTGCATTTCTTGCTATAAAACTCTTGAATACATGCTTGTAAGACAAATGTCAAGCCATAGAGAGGTCTACTTTTAATAATATTTCAAACTATGTATTTTTGTTCATTTTGTAACCTGTTTTATGTTGTGGACACAAGATTGAGATAATGTGATTGGTTGATTTTGTTGATCTGTTTTATTGCAGCCATCAGGATTATGATTTCATCTCTGGCACTCGCATGCGTCGGATGGCCCGCACGGGGGAGAACCCTCCTGACGGCTTCATGGCCCCCAAGGCCTGGGCCGTCCTGAAGGAGTATTACCAGTCTCTGGAGAAGAAGGCTTAAATGTGGACTCTGCTCTGACCGCAAAACTGGGACCACTCCACCTTCATGCTTCACTCTTCAGAACTGCTCTTTTCATGATCACATGGTTTTAAACTGTACCATAACTTCTATTGACACACTTTAGGCTTCACAAGTATCTTTTGTAACTCATTATTGAATTTTTGATGGCACACTCCCAGAGAAAGCTGATTTGTATGATGTACTGCTGTGCAGCATAGATGGATATTGTAATTGCTACTGCACCTATTTGAGCCATTGTCAAACCTCGGAAGTTGACTTCAATTGTAGATTTGCAGATATATTTGATGTAAATGTTGAGTGCCTTGGTCCTTCTCAAATTCCTGTGCACAAAGTTAATGTCTTACTTAAATTTGGATGAAAAGATGATTTATGTGAGACCACCAAGAAGCACCACTGCAACAGATGAAGTGTACTCAAACTGTAAAGCTATTGGTAACGTGATATTTATTTAGTTTTAACTGAGACATGCATGTGGGCTTAGTGTTGCAGACTTATGATTATGTTGCAAATTTATTCCACACTGTCATTTTTAATACTCTGCCTGTCTAATCAAATATAAAACAAGGGATCAGATTTATTAATGTTCCTTGTCAAATACACTGTTTTTTGCAAAAAATGTTTTCTCTGGTTTTTTTTATATAGCTAGGGTCATCATTACATCCAGGTACATAGCAAACTAAAAAAAACTCCTTACATTTGACTGTCATTTTAAGAACTATAAAGTGTATCACTATCAAATGTTGGGCCCTTGGTTGGATTTGGCCCTGACTTCTCACTTTTGAACCGCTTTTTTTCCTTAGCCCTGATACGTCTGCGTTCTGGCACACCACTCAAGAGTCGGTGACTAAGCGGAGCACAGACTGAGACAAACCCATAATGACCCCAATCAGACAGACGCACAGCTGGACGCCAGATGCACTGGGAACAACGTGCTGTTAATAAATTATTTATTTTAACACATTTCACTGAGGGACAGAGAGATAGTTGAACTTTCAAGCCTGCTGTGAGTAAAAAAAGAAGAGATGATGTGGTTGCTGCTATGGCATGGAAGGGAAACCTTGTAGATCAGTAACTCGTCAAGGATAGAGCCAAAACAAAGCTATACATATTCCAAAAAGTGATGCGTTGTAAAGCAATAGATATGAGGCACTTTGAAGTGAATTTCCTTTATTTTTATCATAGAATAATTTGCCAACACGTTGCCAACATGTGTCAGGACTTTCACATGATGCCAGACACCAGAAAAAATTAATGTATATACAACAAATCATGATGCTTCATGGAGAGCAATGAAAATATGCTAAGTTAACAGCAAGTATATGCAATTAAGTGAAATTTGTAATTGATTTTGACAAGAGAATCGTTAGTCTTCCCACGGTAGGGAAATGTCAGTGATGCAACACACAGTTCAGAACAGTGGGAATATATGAAGCACTCGGGACAAGATTAAATGCTCTTAAAAAGGTGAGTTTATTATCAAATAAAAAACGCAACACGCACTGCTTTACAGTTAGGGTTAAAAACAATGCCCATGACCACCCAACAGACCCACCCTGAACCACATAAATTAACACACACATACACACACACTCAGCTACTCTGGGTGCAGATGTAACCAGCTGAAGAGGCACCATCCAAGGAGCCGTCTGCATCGACACAGGAGTCAGACCCCCACAGTCACAGCCGACCACTTCTCCCAGTGCAGAGGGCTCCTCCAGAGGAATCACTGGGATACTAAAACAAAGCCATAAAAAGTAAATCAGGTAAACCACACAAATCATAATAAAACAATTAAGAATCAAATATGTCTGTTGGGTACTAAAATGCAATAATGAATACTAATCAAAAGCTAGTCTAAAAAAAAAACAAGGGTGTCTTTAGACTGTTTTTTTTTTTTTATAAATATGAATGTTCTCTGCGGCCCTGAGCTCCTCCGGCAGACTTCCAGAGACGGGGGCAGTAATCCTTGAAAGATGCCTCACCGTGAGTGTGTATCCCTTATTATTATAGATCCATGGTGTATCCTGACTTTGGGAATGGTTGGGAGTCTGATGCCGGGGGAGCGCAGGGGCCGGGAAGGTTCATAGGATAAAAGCAGTTCTGAGAGATTAAAAGGCCCCAGACCATTCAGACATTTAAAAACCAGTAAGGGAACGTTGAAATTGCTCCTGAAACACACAGGCGATTTTAAAACTGGTGTAATGTGGTCCTGCCCCTTTAGTCAGGACACGTGCTGCCGAGTTTTGGAATAATTTTAAACCTGAAATGTTCTTTTTGGGAAGACCAGAGAGCAGAGCACTACAGTAGTCCATGTGACTGGTAATAAAAGCATGCTTCAGCGACTTCAAAGGGGCCAGTGGTGATGGTCCAGGACACCCAACATTAAACAACATTTATGGACCAATGGCTCTGTGTGTTTTTTACTCTTGCATTTCTTGAGTTTGATTCTCTCATCTGTGTTGGCGAATTCAACGGTTTTGTTTAGCCGTCCAAGATAACTGCTGTTGTGATTTAGGGTAATACAAGAATAAGTTAAATTGAATCGAAAGGTTAGTAATATGAGGAATAAAAGTCATTTCAGAGTCATACATAACAAGCAGGTTTTTCACTTGCGATGATGGATTAAAAGAGTGCATTTGGAGTTTAGGTAAAAGTTTCTCTCTCTGAGGCTCAGGACCAGTGACTAAAGCCCCAAGTTTTGTCTTAGCTGGACAACGTTTTCTAGGCACCATAGAGGCTTTTTCAGAAAAGGTGCAGCCCTGAATCTTTGTAAAGGCTACTAATATCAATAACTGTAATACATACAAGTTTTTAGGGCAGCCAGATCTCAGTATAGTACGTGTAGCAACTCTAATACTTTGTTATTATGAAAATCTTCTTTTTTGTGCTATTAACCATGTCAACCTAACATTGTTCTTCATCAAAAACAAACCTGTGGCACAAACATGTAACTCCACTCCTTCTGTCTAAAAGCTGTAATGGTATGATTGTATGACATCACACTAAAATTGGATACTATAAAAGGTAGTATATTGTATTACTAATAAAATAGTTTAGGTAAATTTACAGGTAAAATTACTTAATTTAAAAATAAATAAATAAATAAAAAAAATAATCTCGACCTCCCTCTGATGGTAGCAGGTGAAACGCATTTTTTCCCCTTCCTACTTATTTCACTATTTATTCTTACTCAGAATAGGTCAAAACACATGAAGCGACAAAGTAAAAAGTCTAATTTTTTAATGGTCAAAGTTATATTTCTTTAAAAACCACAACACAGTTTGTGTCAGACAAGATCTTCCCATCTGATATTTAATAAAACACATTCAAAACCAGTTACACTTTCACAAAATCACACAAATATCAGGTCACCTTCCAAAGATAACGTTGCTATGGATATCTTTTATATGCTTCAAAACAGTTCTGCGTCTCACAGCTCAGAGAAACCATATCACCTTGAACACACCGTAATTGTCAATCATAAATAATTGGTTGGGGTTCAGTGGGAGTTTATCAGGGTGACCCGTACACAGTCAGTGGGCCGTCCCACTTTCGGCAACGTTTTGGGGCAAATGTAAAACAGTGCTGTCTGTGGTTTCGTCCTGGCACGGCTCGCTCGTCTTACTCATGTTCCCCCAGATTATCAGCAGTTATTCAATGCTTCTTTTGTGTTTGTTTTGGACAATATTTGTGCTTTGATCAGACATAGCGGTAATTACTCGTTGCCTTGCCCTTCCCTGTGGAAAAGTGCGCGTAACAAGAGCTCTTTTATACTATTGTTGTATTTATTATATTTCGTTATGTTTTTGTGCCATAAAGCAGCTTCTAGTGTACGGCAACTCAATAGGGCTGGAGATACAGATCCATGTGAGTTAAATAAACAATTTTCAAAGGCTGCAAATTATGGGGCTTGGTGCACAATGGTGCAATGGTAATAAGCGCTTGTGCTTCACAGGAAGAAGGTCTTGGGTTCTATTCCACCTCCAGACAGGACCTTTCTGTGCCTGCTCCAGTTTCCTCCGGATACTCCGGTTCCCCCTACCACAAAAACATGTACAATAGGTCAGAATGTGAGTGAATGGATGGCGATGGTTGAAGTCTCACTTCTGTCATCCCAGTGAGTGATGATGCAGTGAATGGAATTCAAAAGGCCCTTTGTGTGGCCTTTGTCTGTGAAATGCTCTTTACAAACAAATGCTACATATTTAAAACTTAGGAATAGATTGATCCTCTTCTTTAAAATAAACTTATCCATCTATACGTAATTGGTTCCTAAAGTTGACTGAAAAACTATTTGCATTTTAAAATTTGTACTATTATTTAAAAAGGAAATGTGTACTCTTTGCAGATAATATAATTATCATTATGTCAGGGGAGAAGTTGGAGCAACTTTTTGAAGTAGTATCTAATGATTGATGATCTGGTTTCATGCGAAAAATATCATTGGCCCTCATTTATGAAACTTGCGTACGGCCAAATAATACACTTTTTGGGATTAATCAATCTGGAAGTGAGCGTACGCACAAAATATACGCCGAGTCTGGAGGTGGTGTAAATTTTATATCCATCTCAACCTTCATCTCAACACGCATGAAATTCAAGATTTTGACAACAATAAACATATTACTCACTCTGGCCAAATTATAGGCACACCTATCACATTACAAATATGCAATTTCACTAAGTTATGTTTATGTAAGCCCTCAGTCGTACAGGGATTAGTCAATGCTTTCACTAAGTTATGTCTAGGCTATGCCGATAGTTTATATTACTACATGACATGCAAGATGTCAAACTCAAAAGTCTACCACAAATGTGTGGATTATATAGCACCTCAGTGCACAACAGCATTTGGTTCATGTCGGTCCAAGCAAAGACGCGCACCACCGTGGAGGCTGCGCAGGTCTGATCAGAGGAAGATGGCTCTGGGACATGCAGAGGGTACACTCTGTTACCTTCTGGTACAAGATCCTGGCTCG